ATTCTTGGATGTTATAATTTGTGCTTAACAAACACCACTAAGATTTTTAAGAGTCAAAGATAAGTCCATGTAAAAAGAAAATGCCAAAGTCCATGGAATTTTACCCACTTGTTCCAAGAGATTGAGAGAGAGAATGGCGTCAACTTTACAATTTCTTTTTTATGTTTGAGTAAAAATTCAGAAAAAAAAACATAAAAGTGAAATATCACTGACCCTCTAAGATTTAATTATATACATGCAAAACCAGAAAATTTTAGATGTTGAGAATGTCTTAATTCAAAAAAGTTTACCCATTGTAAGCACGAAGAACATTTAACTTGTTTCAGCAGGAAAATTAAAGAGAAATACTGAAATATCTTTCTCTTTTCCTTAAACATTAATTTTTGGTAATAATCATGATATTATGGATGTGGCTTATATCCTTCCTGGTATACTGTATAAGATATAAACAGGACTAACTTGTTTATATTTTATTTGCTAAACTAAGGAATATCAGTAAGGACACATTTACAGAATAATATACCAGATGACTTTATATAAAATTTTATTTTTCATGTTTTAATTTTTCTTTTATCACATGCAAAAGGCGCCTGTTTATTAAGAAATTGCTTTTGTCTGAATTTTCATAAATTATGGACATTTTACCCAGAATTGAGTAAGCATCCAGGTGGCTAAAATTGAACACATTCCTTACAGTCAAAGGGAAAAGTGGTTGAGGATTAATACGTTTCGAAACTGGGTTCACAACCACCAAAATAATTGTCCCTTTGTTGCCTAATACAATAATTTCTTAATTTATGACGTTATTAACACACTTTGTCGTCAGCTTTTTCTTTTTTGTGAGAAATCAGGGCAGATTATATTGAACAGCATTCCTTTTTCTATTTATGACAATGAAAAATTTGTTTATTCCATTTTTTGTTTCCCCAAAGAATGTGTACATGTATATATTCCATATCTGCATAAAAGACTTTCTTATAACAGTCCGTTTGAATAGACACCGGGAGATGAAAATTAACAATTCTAAGTCTACATAATGTATATACATGTACATGTTAAAAAAATGACAATATATAAACTTAAAAGTTCAAGATGTTGATTAATATCTATTTAATATTCTTCTAAAAATAGAGTCAATTTCTCTGCTTTACGAGAAACCCAATTTTGTAATAATTATGAATAAAAATATATTTCACGAGACTTTTGCACAACCAGATCAAGAGTTTATGTTTAATATGAACCCTCTGGAATCTGACAAAAACTTTATTCCTTCATCTTCATTTTTGATTTGTTAATCCTTTGATAGAAACTTATAGAATTATAAAACTTATAAAAAAGATTTTAAAGTAAAATCAAGCAGAAATAAAATGACTTTTATCAAAACGTGATGTCCTATAGCTATCAGAAAAAGTGTTATACAGTTTGATTTTTGTAAATTATATCAATTCGGACAAAAAGATAAAATGAAAATTTTTTTGTACAAATAACAAATCTAATTTTCTCTCACATGATCCAGTCGGCTCTGGATATAGAGTGGATATTAAGCTCCGGTCTTTGATTTCTCAGTCAATACTATCTCTAAAACTTGTATAAAACTGGAACAAGACATGATGAATTAGGATGATTTAAGACTAATTTGATAAAGGTAACTTGGGATTATTTGTTTCATTACATTATAGGAATTCACATAACACAGATCGGCAGCGTTTGTTTTTGGTGATACGGTTTCTCTTCAAATTTTATTACATACTTATTACATACTTACACTTTCATTAAAAGTAAATAAAAAACTTTTTACCTGCGGTCTCAATAGAACAAATGAAGCCGTTATAGTATCATTGTGTTAGCGCTAAAGGTGAGTGTTTCGTTATCGCGATCGCACATCTTGTAAGCTGTTATCACCAGCATTAGGCAAACGAATCAATTGATGTACACGTTATCAGCCGATCTTTACTGTACAATAAATTGACAAAATACGATTTAAGAAGACAAAACCCGGAAGATCTGTTGTTTTTTATGTTTAAAATATTCATTAATTATTTAAAGTACGCAGATTACAAATTAATCTGAATACTCAATAGGATTCCCCGGCAGTGAATTTTATGTAAATGAAAAATTTAGTTTTTATTTAGAGTAAAAGCTGCAATCTGGGAGAGAGAGAGAGAGAGAGAGAGAGAACCGGACACGTAAATCATATAATTATCTCTCAATATCATGGTAAAATGAACCTCGATGATGTGCAAATCTAAATCCTCGTCCACGAAAGTTCCTGTTATTTTTGATGTCAATGCTGCAATAATTATTAAAGAACGTTAGTACACTGATATTCAATTACAACTTCAAAGGGATTTCCCTTTGATATAGAGCAAAAGCTTTTTTAAACTTGACAATCTTTGCATTTTATTGCCTTTCTCACAGTTACCAATTCTTAAGATAATTTTTCGATCCATTTTTAGTGATTATCTTTACTTTTCAATATTGATGACTTCCGTTTTTGTAATAGTGATGCCATAATTCCGCTCCAATGTTTTCGGATTATGGCATTTTTTAACGTAAGTTAATGTATAGGAAACTGTGTCGAGCTTCGAGGCGGTCAATGTGAAATTGATTGGATCTTCACGTTCTGAAGCTGATATCCAGGAAATTTGGCCTGGGCGTGTTGCTTTGTCTAATTTAGATCAAAAACATTATAGCGTAAAAAGATGCACAAAAGATGTCTTCCCTCTCTTTTGATTTATATAAGTTAGACATTGTAAACTTATAGTTGTAATTTGATAGGGTTTTTTTCATTTAAATTTAGAAATCACGACATAATCTCATTTTGTTAAACACTTTTTTTTAAATTCTTTTTTTGTTTTCATCATTTTCCAGAGTTAATTCTTTGAATATCAACAGATTCTTATTTCTTTGAAGATGTAGAAAAGGCCAGAATAGACTACTTTCTTAACGATATATTTTAAACGTAGCAACTTTTGAAAATCTTTGATAATATCGTCTGAATATTATCATACAAAGAATGTGGATCGTTTTGATTTTAAAATTTAAGTTACAGACCGTAAAAATTAAATTACTTGTATTTGAATTGGTTTAACTTATATAAAATTTCAAAATGAAGAATGATGATTTTTATATCCCGTGTTTGCATGAAATAGGTGCATGAGGATTAAAAACTATAGTTCAATTATTTTTGTCTCTCTTTTTTATTATACTATTTCTGTGAATTGTCGCTGATAAATTCAAAATAAATGAAATCTATATAAATCGAGTTTTCAATACCAATTGTAAAAACCAGGCAAAAGTGAAAAATTGTGTTTTATTTTTTTCCCTCTAAGATACCTACACTAAATGTAGTTATAGAAATCCTTATGTTACGCACAATGAAACATATCTTTATTTGATATCTTAATATATTCTTTTTTTCCATTAAATTTTCTTGAAATTTATTTTAACTTGAATTTCTTAGGATATATCACCCCGAAACCTCAGTAATTATATAAGTAGGCAAGTAAACATGCAATGTGAGTGGTTAATTAAGTGGAATAGATTAATGTCAACGTCTCAATATTTACAAGGAAAGATCGACTCTGAAAACCAAGGGGCGAGGATAATGGGCTCAGAAACGAGCTAAATTTGACAGAGCCTCGTTGAAATGTGACCATGTTGAAATTGTTACGGAATTATTTACACAACGAACAAATGGACAAAGTATTAGAATCACAATAAATTTATTTTAAAATCCCCTGATTGTAGGGCTGATAGGTAAATCGATTTCGGGGTTTATTTGTTGTGACTTATGTGATAAGAAATGATTGTGACTAGGTTCACTTTACACTTGTTCGGTATAAAATAAATAAACTCCCTGACATCTCAATAAAAGCTTCCTTAATCGGTCACACAGTCAAGTGGTCAGAGATTGAACTGACCAATTGATGTGTCAAACCACTGTGGTCAATATTGTTTTCTTAATCATTAAACAACATCGTTAAAAGACAATGCCTGGTCACTGCTCAAATAAAATCCTCCATTTAATCTGCTTTTGCTTTGTTTACAAATAATTCTTTAAAAAATCAAGTCCTAGAAGGAATAAAAAACAATTTTAAGCAAACTTATGTTATCTTTTTAACTAAATTTTGCATAAAAATTCTTCAAATGTTATTTAAAATTAAGTAACCTTTCGTTCTTATTTTATTTTCATCATGTATTCCAGTACATTTTTATTTCTATTCTAAAAATACGACTAATATAAGTGTTTTGGAAAATGGGTGATTAAAAGAGAGAATAGTGTGGGTTTTTTTAAAAAAAATATTTTCTATTTTTATTTTTTTTAATTTTATTTATTTATCTATTTATTCATTTATTCATTCATTTATTTTATTTTATTATTATAATCATTTTTATTTATTTATTCTTTTATTTTTTGATATTTTTCCCTGCCATTTTTAGTTGATTTTACCCTCCTTAATTATAATTTTAAAAGAATTTTATATAATTTTAAATTTCATTGATTAATTATTGCATGATTATATTAATTTCCTTCTTAATATTTTTCTGTTATTATAAACTGTAAAAGTAAGATTTGCGCGAATCTTCAATTCCTAAAATATATGGCTGTAATAAGAAACAAGTTTTGTTTATTTGTTTATCTATTTTTATCTATATCATGTTTTTATTTAACTTTTCGATACATCGGAAATTTATAAATTTAAAAATATTTACCCTTTTAAATTAAATATATAAAATATCAAAGTAAATGAAAAACAAATATAATTTAGATTTACTTTGTACAATCCAATTACTGAATAAAAATAATACTTGAAAAGATGCTAGAGCTGAAATTTTAAAATCTTCACATTTAAATGTGTTCATTGATAAAGAATTTAGTATATTAAAAAAGAAATTAAATTTACTGCCAGAAAGTTAGTACGTGTACAATTTTTTAATAAGAAAGTTATTCAAATATTTAAGAAACTAGTGCTGTCAGATCGTATTTCAGAAGAACACGACATACCTACCTATATTTTTATCAGTTTCGGGATCGGTATGTTATCATTTTTAAGATCATGTTTTAACGGTATGAAAGGAAAGCGCAAGAAATATTAAAGTATGTATGTTTTTATAATCAAATGATCTGTAAGGCATATTCTGCAATAAATATTACAATGGATGACAACTTTTGCAAAATGGTGATAAAGGGGGCGGAGCTTAGATCATCCGCTGTTCTTATTGGCTCGCGTAAGTAATTCTTCTTGCTCTAAAGAGTTTTAACAAATGTTATTGGCGCTTAATCCCTTGTTGCTGGAAGGACTGTCTAAGAAATTTGTGTTTAAATCAAAACTACACCCTTTTGACAAATTTTCAAACTGACATTATATCCGAACAATTACTGAGGTAGATCGCAGGACAAAGGGACCTATGTGTTTGTAATCAGCTATTGTCACCCAGGCGTTCTTCAGCCGCTGGAATAGTTTTAGATGACACTTTGTTGACGCTAAGAGGAAAATTGTTTCTTACAAAATCTTCGTATATAAAACCCCCAAATCAAGTGTAAAAACTATTTTCTGAAAGAACCTTGGAAACGCGGGAAAATGCAGCACTTTCCGTACCCGTACTCTGCCGAACAGCTCGCCTGTCTCCGGAACTACCAGATTGGACTTTTGGCGGCCTCTTCTAGAAGCACCAATCCCACCTTGTTCACCATCGACAACATTCTCTCCCCACGACCCCTCAGCCTCCAGCAGACGACACCCGAGGTTCGACCTCCGCCATATTCACTTTCTCATCTCACACAACTGCAGCGAGATTACTATGGTAATAACATTTTTAAAAAGTATTTTAATATATTTGAATATTTGGATTTTTGCTAAATTTAATTTTAATTTCTTAAAAATTTTCCGTCACCACAAACGTTGTAATTTTTAAAGCAAATTTTATTTTATCGCAATGCCTGTCTTTCGTCTTTTTTTAACCGCCATATTTTAATACATTTTTAAAATCTATTTCAGCACGGTATCAGCATCCTTTCCAAGGTTTATTTAATTCATTTGATTTTGACAAACTTGGACAAAAACGGAAAAGAAGACACCGGACGATTTTTACAGAAGAACAGCTGGAGGAATTGGAAAACACTTTCCAAAAGACGCACTATCCGGACGTCATGTTGAGGGAGGAGCTCGCCATGAAAGTAGATCTTAAAGAGGAGAGAGTTGAGGTAATTTACAGATCAGATTTTTTTATTATTTATTTATTTATTTTATTTTATTTATTTATTTTTTTTTTTTTTGAATAATTGTTTCAATAAAAAAAAAATTTTACATTTTGAAAAGGGTATTGCTTTGGAAGTAAAAATCAAACATAAATAGATTTATATATTTATTACAATTATGTTAAAAACCACCGAAAATTAAAATAAAAATTACATCCGTTTGCAATTTTTTTCGATATTTATTTTCAGAACTATATTTCGTGTAACTCTTTTCCCAATTCTATGGGGAGAAAAACGTTTATTTTCATTTTAAAAAAAGTACTAAATCTACTATGAATTTAAAGAGAATATTGTAGCAATATATATATTTAATATTTGTTTATTTTTCTAAACACACACTCAAGGTATTCAATGATTTTGTAGTTTGGCAAATCCATGGCGTTGAAAAAAAATCTTATCATATGTTTATACAAAATTAAGTGTGAGGTACATTTTTTTTTACACCTAAATGTCAATTGATTTCTTTGCTTATATTCATTATTCTGCCATGTAGATCCTATCGATAAGGCCATAAAGACATTATTAACCAATTTTTAACTACAAGGAAAATGCCACGAAAACATTTCTCCCAGTTTAGCCGTGAGCCGTCGGCCCCTGTGTACCGTTTTATCGTACAATCTTAATTTCATTCCAACATAAGTTCTGCCTATATCATCATATCGAGATACAAAGAGGTATTTTTCACTCCCCATAAATTTCTTTTTCCTATAATAGGGTTTTTAATAAAATGCGATTATGACTTGCACATTAACTCTTTAAAAATTGGGTTTACAAAGACTTGGTGTAGGTTTTCATCATACAATTTGTTTTTCATCCAATATCAAAGGGATTTTGTATCCTTATTTTTAATGAAAGAGTTTTTATTTTCTTTTTTTTCGATATTTTTTTTTTTATTTTAGTAATATCAATTTTTCTTCTCCTTCTTTTTTTATTTTAATTTAAAACTACACTTTAACGTCGAGGATTTGCATTAAAAACTGTTTTGACACTTTAATGGGATCCTTTTTCGTTAAGATGTGAAATGTTAGTACCCAGTTCAGATACTTTTTTCACATTTCTGTGACGCAACTGAAATGACTTTCTATTTACTATCAATGATCTTAAATTCAAAGATGATATTTTAAAAGATTATTCATGAAAAACATAACGCAAATCGTTTAAGTAATCCCATAATATTTTTATCTTCTGGATTTGAATACGATTAACGAGCTACAAAGATTTGGATCTTTTTTAAAGATTTTTTCCTTACACTTTCAAAATGACAATTTAAAAAGCAACCAAATTATTCCTTTTTTATGAGCGCAGGTGTTTGCAATAAAAATATTAAAATGAAATATACTTCTTTCGGATTATTATATGCAATTTACGATACATAATTGACTTCTTTGTAGGTTTGGTTTAAGAACAGGAGAGCAAAATGGAGAAAGCAGAAAAGAGAGGAAGAGCTGAGCAAATCGCGTGCAAAATCATCCTCTACTGGGGATAAAAACGATCAAAACAAAGACAAGGACTCTTCGGAAGCCCTCGGATCCAACTGTCCGGAAGGCATTGATGATGTCGAGGTTTGTGTTGATGATGACGTCAGTGAGGACTGTGCCAATTCCAGCGCTGCATTCAGTGAAAGCAGCTTCTCAACTAGCTCAGAGGACGAGGAGTCCGAACACGTAAATGACTGCAAAAGACCGAAACACTCCGATCAGACGAACTATAATCTGTCACGTGATCAAAGTGTTGATGATGGGGAACAACATTCAGACAGTGCAATAAATTCATTTGACAAAGCTAATCCTGGATGCAGTGGCCATGTCGGTTCAGAATGACAGCTTCCGGTTATTCATGTGGGTCCCCTTGTCAGTATTTGTATTTTGTCATCGAAGCTCATTTTTATTGGTATCCTCTAGACATTTGGATAACATAGAGGACATTAAGATCACATATTCCGTATGCTTAACACACCGTTCAGTAGATTTAGTCACGTGACTCTTTGTTGGCCAAATGCATTTGAACTGTTGTGAGATGCCAAAATTAGATTATGATTGTTGTTAATAAATTGACGTAAATATAGGTTATCTTAGTTATATGTGTTACAAGGAACAAACTTTTTAATTTTTTATGTATTCATTTATTCATTATTTGGGGGGGGGGGGGGTCTTACTAGAAATGTTTCTTTTGTTACATACCAATCTTAAAAAGAAACATTGATCCATGCGAATCAAATATGAAGGATTTTGCTAAATATAATTTCGATTATCTGATTTTTTTTTATCAGTTATTGTGTGATACTCTTGTAGGTCTAGATGTAGTGTTTTTATACCCCGGAAGATCGGGTGCATAATGTTTATGTCCTGTTCGTCTTCTGTCTGCGAAAACTCTAATATTTGGCTTCAACTTTTCAGCTGTAGTGGGTAAACTCTTCAAGTTTGGGACACATACATGTATTTAACTATTAATGGATTTCAAATGCTCACACTGTGTTTACCTGCTTGTCCGTGATTTTAAAGTATTTATATAAAATTATAAATACAATCCGATCGGTATCGGTATTCTTGTAGCCTTTAATATATTTATTTTGTGCTTATTCTCCGTGATTTTTGGCTAGGATTAGGATTGGCAGTGTAAAAGCACAAAACAATCTCTCGAGAAAGAGAATGATTCAGCACCACACTTGTATGTCAAAAACCACCAGTGGCGGATTTAAGGGGGGGGGGGCGCCCCCGGCGCCCCCCCCCCCAAACTGTCAAAGTTAGCGTAAATCATAGTTTCGCCACGAAAATGTAAAAATGTCTACTTGGTAGACCTCATTTTTACTCTACAAAATCTCTAGAATCCAGGAGCTTCCGGGGGCTTCGCCCCATGGGCCCCCACCAGGGCTTCGCCCTGGACCCACTGGGGGCCTCAAGGCGGCCCCCAGACCCCCTGCCTACTTTCTGCGCCCCCATAACTTCAATTCCTGGATCCGCGCCTGACCACTACCTTTGATAATTATAGTCATTTTCATGTTAATGCTGCAAATTAATTTCGAATTCATATCAAACATTGTAAAATTAAATAAAATCTTGTCAATATCAGTTTTAGAACTAAACATGTATTTGTAGGTCAAAAGGTCATGAGTTTGACTAATAAGATAAAATAAAAATTTTCAATTTCAATTTAAAATAGAAATAAAACAAAAGAGGAGATACATATTACATGCCATAATTTATAGTGATACCTCAGTGCATGGTATTCTTATCATTAATTCTTTCTTGGATATGACCTGAAATCAACAAAGTGCATTACAACCAGATATTTCTTCTTAGGTATGAAACTGCATATGCACAAATCATAAGTTTAACAACAATTTGAGCAGTGAGGGTTCTTTTACATGCCAAAGTGAGGCCAGCCATGGGAAAAAACTTTTAAAAGTTTATGGATGTTCTATGGCAAATGTAAAGAGGGTTGCCCAACTAATGCATAAATTAGGTTCGTCTCAAAATATTGTTACAGATATGTCCAAGAACTCTTGTTTACATCATAATTTGATCACGTTGTAAAATATGAATTAGTGAATGTAATTTTTTCCCAATATTAAAGGTTAAAAAAAAATAATGCGAACATTCAGAAAGAGAAAAAATACACCCTAATTTGGTTTACAGGCGCTATCTCTGGTCGGTCTGAAAGTTCATACGCAATCTGGTAATCTACAATTAATAAACAATAATAAACAGAGCAAATTATCAAAATAATATTGACACATGTTCCTATTATCATGTAAAACAAGATATTGCTTTCTGTTGTCAAAGCAGGACAACCCTTATCTTATATTAGAACTCCAATACCAGCAGAAATCCACTGTTGGTGGTATGAGTTTGTCAATCATGCTAATGCCTCTGTTTATCTCAATTCATTAAAAAAAATGTGGGATTACCTGTGTCTGATTATCATATTTCAGCTTAATTAACTTGTTGTTAATCACTCAACTTTAATTTACGCCCAGATAATGCAAAATAGAGGGGCCTGTTATCTTTGGATTACTGATTTCGTATGGAATCGACAAGTATAGGACCGAATAACAGTCAGGGGGAAATTGATGGGAGGATAGCGTAAGAGATCGTAAAAAATAGAGAACAGATCGGAAGGTAGGGAGAAGGGCTGGAATAAAAGACAGGAAACTGATGGGAGGGTACTGTCTTAGACAGGAATAAGAGAAGAAACTGGATGAGGGTAGAGTGAAAGACTGGGATAACAGAGGTAACTGATAGGGGGGTAGAGAAAAGGGCTAAACTGATGGAAATGTGGAATGTAGGATGCCGTAATAATTGACAACAGGTGGAAAGGTAGACGTTAGGACCTGGATAACGGAGAGAAAACAGATGGAAGGGTTGATTAAATTATACTAATGACAGATAGGAAACTGATTGGAGGGTAGAATCTAGGACTGGAATAACAGAGGAATCGGTGGGAGGGACGGGTGAAGGGAAGGATTAAAATAACATACTTATAGAGAGGAAATTGCTGGAACAGTTGAGTTAATTAAGGACTCGAATAACAGATAGGAAAATGGTTGGAGGGTAGAATGTAGGACTGGAATAACAGAGAGGAATCGGTGGAAGGGAAGGACAGGAATAACAAAGAAAGATTGAAATAACAGACTAACATAGAGGAAACTGCTGGAACAGTTAGGTGAATTACTGAAGTATAACAGAATAGATGGAAGGGTAGAATGTACGACTGGAATATGACAGAATGGATGGGATGGTAGAATATTGGACTGGAATATGACAGAATGGATGGGAGAGTAGAATAAAGGACTGGAATATGTCAGAATGGATGAGATGGTAGAATATAGGACTGGAATATGACAGAATGGATGGAAGGGTTGAATATAGGACTGGAATATGACAGAATGGATGAGAGGATAGAATATAGGACTGGGATATGACAGAATGGGTGGACGGGTAGAATATGGGACTGGAATGTGACAGAATGGATGGGAGGGTAGAATATAGAACTAGAATATGACAGACTGGGTGGGAGTGTAGAATAAAGGACTGGAATATGACAATGGATGGGAGGGTAGAATATAGAACTGGAATATGACAGAATGGATTTGAGGGTATAGAATATAGGATTGGAATATGACAGAATGGATGAGATGGTAGAATATAGGACTGGAATATGACAGAATGGATGGACGGTAAGAATATAGAACTGGAATATGACAGAATGGATGGGAGAGTAGAATATAGGACTGGAATATGACAGATTGGATGGGAGGGTAGAATATAGGACTGGAATATGACAGAATGGATGGAAGGGTAGAATAATGGATTGGAATATGACAGATTGGATGGGAGGGTAGAGTATAGGACTGGAATATGACAGAATGGATGTGAGAGTAGAATATAGGACTTGAATATGACAGATTGGATGGGAGGGTAGAATATAGGACTGGAATATGACAGAATGGATGGAAGGGTAGAATATAGGACTGGAATATGACAGAATGGATGGAAGGGTTGAATATAGGACTGGAATAGCAATCAGAGAGGTAAATGAGGAGAGGTTTGAGTAAAAACAGGAAAGACAGAGGAGGGGACTTATAGAATAGAAGAGGTATAAGGACTTACAGTTAGAGAACTTAAAAGATTAGATTATTAGAGGAATCATCTGCGCGTTCAATCGGGTTTAATGATTTTTCCAATTTTTGGCGATTCACATTTCTAAAACAAGTTAGAAGAATAATGTAAATAATGTCAGTCAGGCTATCGTTTGCTGGGTCGATCTTTGAAAAAAAATTTCGGATTTGATGACTCACTGACATAGTCTCTAGCTATAGCAAGCTGACTAAAAAAACATGAGTTATTTTGTCACATTCAGCTTTTGTAGTTCATCTCCATTGATTTAAATGTCTATTTCCACATCACTTTGTCTCTTTAATGGTATTCATCATTTTACAATTCTTCTTTCAGTTTATGTCCACAGATGAAAAACATCGAATATTTAGATACATGATTTTTAACATTTCATGATCAATATGTAATCTTTATTTCAAGATAATGGTACAGTATATATCAGAAAACGTTATCTTGCTGTAATATATCAGTGCATGTAGTCGATATCTACAGCTGTAAAACATTAGTAGTCGATGTCTAGCTGTAACATATCAGTAGTCGATATCTATATGTAACATATCAGAAGACGATATCTAGGTGTAACATATCAGTTGTCGATATCTAGCTGCATCATATCAGTAGTGATATCTATTTGAACATATCAGTAGTCGATATCTAGCTGTAACATATCAGCAGTAGATATCTTTATGTAACATATCAGTAGTGATATCTATATGTAACATATCAATATTCGATATCTAGCTGTAACATATCAGTAGTCGATATCTTTATGTAACATACTAGTATCAGTAGACGATATCTAGCTGCATCTTATCAGTAGCCGATATCTATATATAACATATCAGTAGTTGATATCTATATGTAACATATCAGTAGTCATACCTAGCTGTAATATATCAGTAGTCGATATTTATCTGCAACTTATAACAGCAGTCCTTTACAGACCCGTAGTAACGGTTTCTAAAGTGGGGGGGGGGGGATCCAAAAAAATCTAACAAGCCAAAAAATTAAACTGAACAAAAAGTGGGGGGGGGGGGATCGGTGGCAACTTCCCAAAAAAATCTGACAAGCAAAAAAATAAATAAATAAATACATAACCGTGCAAATCCTTGAATTTGCTAGTGCTCTACCTTACAGTGACAAAAAGTGGGAGGGGGGCAACCACCATTTAAAGGAACATTTACTATAGCAAAATACTATACACAGAAAATGGGGGTGCCCCCCCCTTCTACGGGCCTTCTTTAAAATTAGACAATCATATTGGTTTCACAACCGATACCATAACTTAATGTTAATGAACCTCTTATCCCCAATGCGTTGTGTTTGCATGGCTAGGGCTACTGCAAAGCTAGGGTTTTAAACGTTTCATAAAGTATTCATGGAAATTTTTACATATGTCAGATGATGAGGATATTGATGCTAGCTCTGTATGTTTTTAAATTATTCTCA